GTGCGGACGAAAATTTAGCCGATAAACAACCCGTCTATGGCTTGTATTACTCTCTTGGCAGCTTTCTTATTTCCTACAGTAATTCAGGCTGTGAGTGGGCCAAAGGCATGTTCAGTCCTGTATTGTACATGATGACGTCACAGTGCAAACAACAAAGTGCCGAAGAGAAGCTACTTTGAGGCACGTGTCGCACGGGGGGGGGAGGAGCCTTCGGGAGTGACGGCTAAAGTAAGTAAAAGTAAACTTTGAAAGCTAAATTTAGTTCTGGACTAGTTTCCATGCTGCAGCTATATTTAGGTTGAAACGTGGTCCACTGCTCCCCACTCTCCTACCACCCCATTCCCATTACAGTATTAGTAATTGGGGGTTCTTATCCTCAACAGTTCCTGGTAAATTTGAATCTTGTGCAGCTGTGCATGGCTCTGGCAGCACAGTCGCATCATTCATTATCATGTCAGAGTCCCATCTGTCAATCGTCCACTGTAGCAGAGGGTCTATAGTGGAGCACAAGTTTGGTGACATACTTTTAGTTCATTGATATTTTCCTTCAGCCAGGGGTGGACTGACCATTTGGAAACTCGGGCACTGCCTGAGGGCCTGAGGTCAGTAGGGGGCCCCATGAGATGCCCCTGGTACCTTTTTCATAGGCTTTTTTGAGTTTGGGCAAGGACACAGGGGCCCCATAATCCCCTATTGCCTGGGGGCCCCATGAGTTGTCAGTCCACCCCTGCCTTCAGCCCGTAACTGAAGGTCTATACCCCAGTATGGACCTGAGCTGAATGAAGTGTCCACTGATCGCAGTTGCAATGCTTGCAGACTTAAAGTGGTTGTAAACCTCAGACATGAAATGTGAACAAAGCATCATCCCTCTAGTGCTTGTCATATTAAGAGCACTAAGTGTAATTTCTGTCTGCTGCCTCATTTCTCTGCTATCTGCATGAGTCACTTCTGACAAGTTTTCCTGACACCAAGAGAAAAATGGTGACAGGGGAGGGATCTCCAGTAGATAGACAGCCTCAGCTCTGTTTCTGTGAGCTGTGTGGAGGGGTGGGTTGTCTCTTCTGTCCAATCAGCTCTCAGAGCTCTCCTCACTGAGCACTGCAGAGTGTAATTTCAGCTCTATGACCCCTTTATACTGAACTCTCAAACAAGCTTTATAAATTCAGTACTGTATAATTCAATAGTTTTTATTGAACAATTTTTCAAATAAGGTAATACTAATGAACAATGTCCTGTCAAAACATAATGCAAATAACAAAGTTTATCGGACATAAAACAGTTAACCAGAGACTAAGAACTCTGTAGAGTAATTATTGGCTAATCTAGACCAAGGTCCACAACCCTTATCTGCCATATATAGGGGACTGGCACAGTGGTAGGGAAGGGAAGAGGGAGGGAACTAGGAAGGGAACCAGGAGAGCAGAAGGTAGGATGTGTAGTGGAATGAAAGAGAAAGAACCACTGTTCATGGACCTGAAATTACACACAGAGTAGTTGTTGTTTTAAGCAGGATAAATGTAGAACATATAGGGATTGGGCATGATCAACCCTAATAGACAAATGAGAGAATAATAAGGAATAGAGAGAAAAGAATAGAAAAAGAGAAGGAGAGGGTCAAGTTGAGGGACATTAAGGCACAGAAATATATTGAATCCAAGTGTCCCATATTTTGTCAGATTTTCTAGTATTATTGTGTAGTATACAGGTGAGTTTGTCATTAATCATAATCCAGTTCAATTTATTCTTAACATAGTTAAGCGGGATAACCGATTGCCTCCTATGTCTAGCTATAGTAATTCTCACTGCCAACAACATACAGTATAGGTGATCAATTTATGGGACTTTTTGGGAACATTCTGCGAATATTTAACCCCATCACCGAATGAATTAAATTAAACATGTGAATCCAAAATCTGGTTGCTATCAGAAATTGCCACTAGATACTGTATAACTCTGTGCTATCCCATCCCCTATTAAAATGACACTGGAACCTTTATCAACGGGGGGAAGTTGGGGGGAACAGGAATGATGGTATCTGGTGCTCCATTAACATTTAAGGGGTAGGCATTTTTTTCAGCTAAGTCAGAAAAAGAAAGGTAAATGAGAAGAAGTGTGAAAATGTTGCCTTCGCAACAAATTAGGTTTCACTGTGCATTACATGCAAAAAATAAACAGTAATTCTAAGTGGTTGATACTTATTTTGTTCATATTTCCCCTTCTCTTGTATTTATGATGCAGCCCCTTTTACCAAAGGCATGACCAGAACCTTCAGAGCCCCAGTGCAGGAAACCATGAACGGCCCCCCATGACCCCTGACCTCTGGTCCCAGGGCTCTTTCCTTCAGGCCTGAGGCTAGGGTTGCCACCTTTTCTTCAAGCAAAGCCTGAACACTGTAGCAATAAATTGTTTATATATATATTACAGGAGCTACACACAAGCAGCGATTCCTGGGTACAAGTCTCATACACATGCTATGCTCCTGCAGTCTTGGACCCCTACAGTAGCAGAACCCCAGAGCCCAGTCACAAGTGTGACTTTTGCGACCCTGGTAGTTCTGCCACTGGACCTTTGTGATCCTTTGTGATCCTCGTAGTTCCACCACTGCTTTGTACCCAGATACTATTAGCCCGGACAATTCTTCTGTCAGTTATGGCTGCAATCTTTCTTGGTCTACCTGACCTTGGCTTGGTAGCAAGAGATCCCTGAACTTTCCACTTCTTAATAGGTGATTTAACAGTACTAATTGGCATATTCAAGGCTCTGGACATCTTTTTATGTCCTTTTCCATCTTTATAAAGTTCCATTATCTTGTTACGCAGGACTTTTGACAGTTTTTTTCTGATCCCCATGGCTCAGTATCTAGCCTAGTCAGTGCTTCCACGTAAGAGCTAACAAACTCATTGACTATTTATACACTGACACTAATTGCAATTTAAAAAGCCACAGATGTGGGACATTAACCTCTAATTGGCATTTTAACCCATGTGTGTCACCTTGTGTGTCTGTACCAAGGTCAAACATTCCAGGGTATGTAAACTTTTGATCATGGCCATTTGGGTGATTTATGTTATCATTATGATTTAAAAAGGAGCCAAACAACTATTTGATAATAAATGGCTTCATATGATCATCATCCTTCAATAAAAGAGCATTTTTTTGGCATGATCAGTCATATTTTCAATTTCAGTGCCAAAATTTCACAATTTCTGCCAGGGTATGCAAATTTTTGAGTACAACTGTAGTCTGTTCTTCCCTCTTCAGATCACTGTTTTGCCTCTGCAGGCTCCAATGACAGCTTCTGATGCCAACAGGGAGCCTATCAGGATACTAATTATAAACTAGCAAGCCTAAGCATTAGCAAGCCCAGACAATGAGGCACTCCTCGCTGGGAAACACTCAGGTGCAGATTGCCACACATAATCTCCTATGGATGGATCAATGCTGCTTTGCTGAGTGACATAGCACACAGTGCACAACGCTTGGTAGGCTATTTCTTTTAAAGGGACAGCCTTACCATATGTATCCATTTTCTTAAAATTTCTACCTTTTCCATTTCAATGTGGAGATGCTTTTTGCTACAGTTTCTAAACACGCACCAAAAATATAGCATGCTGGACTTTAAGAAAAATGCACCGAACCTGCAGCTCGCTGGTGCGAACAGTTCCATAGAATTTAAAGGGTTACATTTTTATGCATTTTTCTTCTTTTTTTTTTTCACCCCAAAAACACATAAAAAATGGATCAGTGTGAAAGGGCCCCAATGAATGGACTGCCTTAATGCAATATACGTTAACATGCCACATAACATGCGCAATGCACTGCACTGCTGTCAATGAGCCCTTACTATAGTATTTTTAAAGGTCAGTTTGTTATTTTGCTTTTTGTATTGGAAAATATAATTTGTGCTGTTGCTATTTTTGCATGTATTAAAATACACAAAATTCCACTGTGGTAAAATACGCACAAAAGTGTAAAAGAGCGCAATAAAATCTACTTCTACAAGGCAAAAGTGTAACCTAGGCTTAAAGAATAAGTTCACCTTTGGGAACATGTTACATGCTCCACCTAGGGGTTGCCACCTCATCCCTGTAAAAACAAACATATTAATTACACAGGTTCTGAGTCCAATTTAAAGGCCCATTCACACCTATGCAGTGTGTTCCGCTATCCTTGTGAATAAACCAGCAGTAGTGAAACGCGTCAAGGAAGGTTGGTTTCAGGTGGAGACATCATTGTAGGCAGTCTTTTTTTTACAATTATTAAACACAGAGGGAAGATCTAAGTTTTGAAGCGTGACTTACAATTTTTTTTATATTTTTGATGGAGAGTAGGCTCTGGTGGCCAGCACCCAGGTTGGCCATATGATGAAAGGAGCAAGCCTTGAACAGAGCCATGGGTTTGGGTATGTTATCGTCACCACGTGCATGTTAATACATTATGATTTGCATTAACATGTTCGATTAAGGCAGCCAATTCATTTTGAATGCCGCAGCAAGCGGTGTATTTACCGCCCCCCGGAAGCAGTGACACAAGTGGCAGGCATGGGGATCTGGTGAAGCAATGCCGCCCCGCTCCGATGCTCTGCCAGGAGGTTGTGTACTGCTGAAGGCTGGCCAGCTGCTTCATTCTGGCTAAAGTTAGTTCTTGAATTGGGTGGTGGCGCCGGGGGGGGAATAAAGGTAGGTGGTGGTGGCGGAAGCTGGTGGTGGGGTGGAATTGCTGGTTGGGTAGCACTCCGCTGGCCACCGCTGCTGCATCCCAAACGATAGCAATGGAACTGCCTGCATGGGGATGTACAGAAAAATAGTGCACCCCTATGCGGGTAAACGTGGCCCTTTAGGGTAATGTGTGCTTATGTATGCGCTGTGTGAATGAGGCCTTAGGTTCCATTTAGATCTATACATGTGAATAGAAGTTAGTATTTTAGTAGCATTAAGCATTATCATGCACCATTGTGTGTTTCCTTTGTGTATTAGCATGTCTTAGGGAGAGTTCACTTGAAAACGCAGTGCAGGAAAAGCGTGCTTTCCCACACTGCAAGTGATCGCACTGCCCTTACGAAAGCGTGTAGATGCCAATGAATTGGTAATGGCAACCCAAATGCATCTCACAAATGCAGCACGTTTGCAGCCACCAAATCGCATGGTTCCACCAGGGGTGGACTGACCATTCGAGCACTGCCCAGGGTCAGTAGGGGGCCCCATGAGATGCCCCTGATACCTCTCATTGGCTTTTTCATAGGCTTTTTTGGGTGTGGCGAGGACACAGGGGCCCCATGATCCCCTATTGCCTGAGGGCCCCCTGAGTTGTCAGTCCGCCCCTGGGTACCACAGTACCAAGCGATTTGGTGCAGTGCATTAAAAAGTAGCACTTGCACTACTCTATCCACATTCCAGTTCACTTTGCCGCCCTTTCAAATGCATGGGCGGCCAAAACGGACTGGCACGGGAATGCCCTCAAAGTGCGTTGACGTGCATTTTCAATGTCTTCCTGAATTTAGAATTTGGAGTGGATAGGGTTAACAGGCATTGACTCAATCTAGGTTCACATGCTTTTCTGCAGTGTTTCCATTGAATTCTATAGAACCAAAAACACACCTTTTTGCATTCAAAAAAGTCCCTGACCCTTTCCAAAAAATGCACCGGGTGAAAACGCACAGATGTGATATTTCCCATAGGACATCATGTTAAATGGACTGTACTGCGTTTCTGCAAAATGCAAAACGCTGCAGGAAACGCTTAGGTGTGAACCTAGGGTGAAGCTTGCTAATACCTCTTGCAGTGCATTAAACCATACAGCGCATTGCCAATGACTTTTAGGGGCCTGTCAATGAATGCAGAAAAATTGTTTGAAATTCCAAACATGTTGGGATTGCAGTGCTGAGATGGGAAAAGGCGCTATCTGTATTATGGGGAAGTTGGACACATCCATGTTTAGTGTGTTGCAAAGTGTGCACTGAAAACATAATGAGCCCTGACACTGTTCAGTAAAAAACAAGCTTGGCGTATGAAGTGTGCACACAATGAATGTTACACAGAATTAGTAACTGGCAGGGGCGGACTACCCATTTGGAAACTCGGGCACTGTCCGAGGGCCCGGGTCAGTAGGGGCCCCATGAGATGCCCCTGGTACCTTTTTCATAGGCTTTTTTGAGTTTGGGCAAGGACACAGGGGCCCCGTGATCCCCTATTGCCCGGGGGCCCCATGAGTTTCAGTCCACCCCTGGCAACTGGTGAATATGCAGTGATCACAAATCAGTGGGGAGGAGGGAAGAATTCACTTGAATATTGCTGTGTTGCCAATGTCTGCTTGAGCGATTTGAGATCAGCCTATGTCAACCAAGTACACACAGAAAGGGTTAACGTCCCATATGTCTTGCATTGTGCGTGGCACACCTCACCTATTGGATTCGCCTGCTCTGAATATGTGAGGGTCACAACAGATTTGGGGTGCCTTCACAAAGAAGGCCAGAGGGCAGTAAAATCAGACATTTTACCGCCCACCTGACTACTATTATTGCAGCTGGAGAAGGCTGCATACATGCTGCTGGCTGCGATTCTTTGCTTCACGCCCACAGCCATTTTAATTCAGCTTGCAGAGTTTGACAGGTGACAATTAAAACAGAGTTCCACCCAAAAAGGGGACGTTCCGCTTTAATGCTTTGTCCCCCGCTCCCCGTTAAGGATTGGCACCTTTGGGGAGCGGGTACCCGAATTTGACAGGTACTCGCTCCCACTTCCGGTGCGATCACCTAAGGCGATTGGAAACGGAAGTTGTCCTCCCTCCCCGTAGTCTTCTGGCACACGTAACAGGTCACAGAAGACTACGGGACCATTCAGAAAGTGCAGCGCTACTCGTGCATGCGCAGTGGGCACCCGGCTGTGAAGCTGCAAGCTGTCACAGCCGGACACTAAAGAGGAGAGAAGATAGCCAGTGAAACCAGCCATGGTGAGGACACCGCTGGACCGAGGGACAGGAGAGTAGCTGTATTTTAAAAGTCAGCAGCTACAGTTTTTGTAGCTGCTGACTTTTATTTTTTTTTATTCAACTGGAACTGCATTACCGTGGTAAAAAATTAATTTATGAAAATGCATAAAAGTGCATACTCACAAACCAAAGGAGATATAAAACAGAGACAAAGAGCCAGTGGTAGCAGTCCCAGATGACGGGAAACCCTTGATGTGGTTAGCTGACGCTGTGAAGAAGGGAGTGCGTCTCCCGAAACGCATCAGTTAACCACATCAAGGGTTTCCCGTCATCTGGGACTGTTACCGCTGGCTTTGTCTCTGGTTTATAGAAGTGTGTATGCACTTTTATGCATTTTAATAAATTAATGTTTTACCACGGTGATGCACGTAGAGAGTGCACCCTTTCTTTGCTTTCCTTTACCAGTACCAAGATTTCCCGATCTATTAAGGGCTGCACAGATACAGTACCCCATTCAGCATGAAGATTTGAGCGCTGCTTTCGTTTTTCTTGACACTTTCCGCTTAAAGTGCCTATTAGTCCTCATGTACACTGGATGTTTTTACAGCGGCTGTTTTTGGCCTTTGACGTTTTTTTCTACAGCCAGTAAACTCCCCAGCATGTTATCCTATGTGTCCATGCATATAGACTACTATCAATGTTTTTTTGGCTGGAAAACCCCCCAGAACTAGTGGATTTTTAGAGGAGTTTTTTAGCTGTAAAAATACTCTAACGCTGGTAAACACGGAAAAATGCCGTGAAATGCGAAATGAAATGCAGTGAAATGCAGCAAACCGGCGTTTTGGGCTTTTCTGAGCAAAAAAAAAATCATTTTTTTTGGTGTAACAACACTAAAAAACCCAAACTCAGAAAAACGTGGATAAGCACTAATGCAAAAGAGCTAAAAACCGCTGAAAAACTAAAGTTTTAAACACAACTTTACACAGCGAATGCTACCAACGTTATTAAAACGCCCAGAGTGCATGGAGCCTAAAGGTGAACGCAAGCATGATGCAACCATGAGCCAAACGCTTGACTTGCATTTGTATTGCACTATTTAATACAAAATCCCCTTTGGGATTTACAGGAAGTTAAACACTACCACCCTTGTGAAAGAGCCTTCACAAATGGGGAGGATTGTACAGTATAAGTAGTCTTATCTCAAGTGTGGTCTTATCTGACAGCTGCAGTGAAGTGTTTTTGCTGCTTATCAAATGCACTACAAAGCAGTTAAATCCTCTAGGGCCCTAGGGACAGTTATGCCTTCCTTGCACTTTTGATTAGGCTACATTTTTACCACCCCTCAAGTGCTCTCCTGTTGCTGGAGGTGTAGACATGCAGCATTGTAGCTGTGGCAAGTATTATACCCCCATGTTGTGTTTGGCAGGTGCTACTGCCGCCAAGTGAAAACCATTTAAGTGAATGGTGCTGCATTGCAACCACCCCCCAACAGTGTGGTTGCTTTCTGGTTGACTGGTAATTAAGGGGTTAAACAGGCAGTGAGGAGGTGCCTGTCTCTTGCTGTCTGTGGTTAGGTTCACACCTATGCAGATTGCATTTGATCCGTTTCTGCAGTGCTTTATGTGGTGCGTTTTGCATTTTTGCTGCGTTTGCATTTTCTTTTTCTTGTTATTAGGCAGATTAAAACGCATGAAAAACACATCAAAAACGCACTACATGCTTTTCTGCAGTGTCTCCATTGAAGTCTATAGAACCAAACATGCAACTTTTTGCGTTTAAAATAGTCCCTGAACCTTTCCAAGAAACCGCAGCTGGTGAAAACGCGGAGATGTGAACCTGTCCCATAGGAAATCATGTGAAATGGACTGTAGCGCGTTTCCGCAAAATGCAAACCGCACCACAAAACGCTTAGGTGTGAACCTAGACTGAAGCAGGATCTGAAGCAGGATCTGAATGCGGATGGTGCTTCAGGAAGCAATGAGGTCATAGTGATTACATGCAGGAGACCGCAGCCGGGGTTGCCGGTAATTAGCTACAGGCAGCAGCCCCATTGAAGGCAATGGAAGGCGGACTACTCCTGTACCTAACTGTGGCAATTTGCATGTAATCGCTCATGGAGGTTCTGGAAGCGACTGTACGGACACAATCGCATGGCAACATCTGACATGCAGGCAGGAGCGGGTGCATGGATCTGAACACACACCCGCATGTCAAACTTTAACATGCGTTTGTGTCCATGCAGACCCTGTACATGCATCCACTTCTATGGGCGGCCTGCACTCAGCTCCAAGGCTGGATACACAAGCATCTGCCAGCATCTCTGCATTGAGGACAGGACTAGTCTGACATCTGAATGAGCCCTAAAACGTCAACTGCCCAGGAAATCGCTGGAATGACCACAACAGACACATCTATAGTAGTCTATATTTTATCAGCAACAAAAATGCCAAGAAAAGCCATTCTGCAGTCACTGCATATGTCATCCTGTGCCCTTTGTAAACAAACAGCATACTTTATTATTATAATACAGGATTTATATGGCGCCAACAGTTTGTATAGCACTTTACAATCTAAAGCAGGGGTCTCCAAACTTTCTAAAGAAAAGGCCAGTTTACTGTCCTTCAAACTTTAGGGGGGGGGCAGACTGTGGTCAGTGGGAGTAGAAAATTTCCTGGCTTGGGAGTATCCAATGCTCCATGATTAGTAATACTGGGAGGAATAGTGCCCCATCTTTGGTGTCAGTTTGGTGTCAGTGGGAGGAATAGTGCCCCATCATTGGTGTCAGTGGGAGGAATAGTGCCCCATCATTGGTGTCAGAGGGAGGAATAGTGCCCTATAATTGGTGTCAGGGGGAGGAATAGTGCCCCATCTTTGGCGTCAGGGGGAGGAATAGTGCCTCATCTTCGGTGTCAGTGGGAGGAATAGTGTCCCATCATTGGTGTCAGTGGGAGGAATAGTGCCCCATCATTGGTGTAAGTGGGAGGAATAGTGCCCCATCATTGATGTCCGTGGGAGGAATAGTGCCCCATCATTGGTGTCAGGGGGAGGAATAGTGCCCCATCTTCGGTGTCAGTGCGAGGAATAGTGCCCCATCATTGGTGTTAGTGGGAGGAATAGTGTCCCATCATTGGTGTCAGTGGAAGGAATGGTGCCCCATCATTGGTGTCAGCGGGAGGAATAGTGTCCCATCATTGGTGTCAGTAGAAGGAATAGTGCCCCATCATTGGTGTTAGTGGGGGAATAGTGCCCCATCGTTGGTGTCAACGGGAGGAATAGTGCCCGATCGTTGGTGTCAACGGGAGGAATAGTGCCCCATCGTTGATGTCAGCGGGAGGAATAGTGCCCCATCGTTGGTGTCAGCGGGAGGAATAGTGCCCCATCATTGGTGTCAGTGGGAGGAATAGTGTCCCATCGTTGGTGTCAGTAGAAGGAATAGTGCCCCATCATTGGTGTTAGTGGGAGGAATAGTGCCCCATCGTTGGTGTCAGCGGGAGGAATAGTGCCCCATCATTGATGTCCGGGAGGAATAGTGCCCCATCATTGGTGTCAGTGGGAGGAATAGTGCCCCATCGTTGGTGTCAGCGGGAGGAATAGTGCCCCATCATTGATGTCCATGGGAGGAATAGTGCCCCATCATTGGTGTCAGTGGGAGGAATAGTGCCCCATCATTGATGTCCGTGGGAGGAATAGTGCCCCATCATTGGTGTCAGTGGGAGGAATAGTGCCCCATCTTCCGTGTCAGTGGGAGGAATAGTGTCCCAATTGGTGTCAGTAGAAGGAATAGTGCCCCATCATTGGTGTCAGTAGAGGAATAGTGCCCCATCATTGGTGTCAGCGGGAGGAATAGTGCCCCATCATTGGTGTTAATGGCAGGAACTATGGTCCACTGTTGCTGTCAGTTGGGGATCGGGGGTGTGGAATAATGCCCCAAAGGCCAGATAAAAGCAAGCAAAGGGCTGTATCTGGCCCCCAGGCCGCAGTTTGGAGACCCCCCTGATCTAAAGGGAGTCAGTACAGCTGCCATACAGGGGCAGACTGACCATTTGGGAACTCAGGCTCTGCCCGAGGACCTGGGGTCAGTAGGGGGCCCCATGAGATGCCCCTGGTACCTTTTTCATAGGCTTTTTTGAGTTTGGGCAAGGACACATGGGCCCCATGATCCCCTATTGCCCGGGGGCCCCATGAGTTGTCAGTCCGCCCCTGCTGCCATACAATGAAATAGAAGAGTGTTAAGCTGACCTCCTCCCCCCATGATTCCCCGACATCCCCTGCAGACCCAGGCACAGGCACAGCCTCGTACCTCCACAGCGCCCATCTCCGCACAGAGCTGTCAGGGGTTGCCATGGTCACGCTGCCTCCTGCTCCCTCCGAGCACGCCGCTTGCCGCTTGCTGTCACCAGGGTGACAGGAGTCACATGACGCCTGGCCGGGCCGCCTGTGATTGGTCCGCTGAGACAGACGCGGGTGGATTGAAAACCCTGGAGTGTTTAATCTGGTGATCGCAGGTAGAGGGAGATCCTCCGCCATGTCCTCCGGCCAAGAGATCCGCTACAGCTGATCCCAATCACCGCACACAGCTGACGGCCATCAGCCGCTCTATATATCGGGCGGTCGGGGAGGAGGGGGTAGTGTTGTGCTCCGTGGACAGTTTTCGCTCCGGTAACGGCTCTCGGTGTGCGGATCGTGAGGATGTAAGTGGCGGCTTGTCTGTTATCTGGACGGGGCTGAGGATTACGGGGGGCTGTTGGCTGGGCATCACCTGTTTTATGATGACCTGTCGGGGGGTGTAAGCCCTGAAGGGGAGGAGGAATTCTTCCTCCCCCCCTTCCTATTTTTGGGGACCCTGTCTTATCTGCACCCCTTCTGTAATGTCAAGGTGGGCTTCTTCTTGGCTGTGATTGCCAATCATCCATCCATGGTCTGGGGGATCAGTGCCCCCGGCAGGCTGATGGGGGGGGGGGCAAAAAAGTGTATGTATTCCCTCTTCAAGCATTAACACTTTCAGTCTGTATGTAATCAGGCAAGCCCTTGCATTACATAGCTGAAGGAAATTGTATAATGTATGGCCAGCCTAAGTAACTACCTGTTGTGGGTGGAGGTTGACATTTGCATGGCATGAGTCAGCTTACTTGTTGGGTGACAACTGCCATCCATGGGGCCTGCTCCTCCCCTGTAGTAGTCTGCCTCCAGAAAACTGAGGTTGTCTAAGCACTGTAGATCAGGGCTGCGGCCTCGTTCACACCATATGTACTGAAAAGCTGATGCTGGGATTTCATTTTGTAGACACAATTTTTTATGCACAGTCCAATGGGGTTTTTGCAGATTCCTGATCAGAAAAAAGAAAACTCCCTGGGATACTAGTGTGGGTTTGTGAATAGGGCGCATAGAGAACCATTGACTTTGTTGTGCCCTTACAGAAACTGATATATCTGCACCACGGTGTGAACAAGTCTAAGGGGCGGAAAATGGGTTTGGGGGGGGGGGGGGGGGGGGAGCTGAAACTTGGGAGTTCATGCTGGATCCAAATCCTGTGGATGTGACAGTGGCTAGCAAGGGGACCTTTCTTCACCAAAATCCAGGTGCAGCCTTGGTTCTGGTGTTCATTGTTATCAATGGGTCCCCGACCTTTAGGAACTTGGCGTGGGTGTTACTATAGAGATGAGCTTCTCATGCCTGGTCTCCCTAAAGCGGTGTTACTTTGGCAAAGAACTGTTGCTGCCAAGCCATGGTTAGCATCTGATTGGCTGCCAGAAATATAAATCCCATACAGCAAGTGTCTGCTGGTGCTTGTAAGAGTTGAGTTTTAGTGCAACAGTGTTTTCCATGGGGTTATGACTTAAAGCCCAGATGTCAAACAAGGCCCATGGGCTGACTCTGGCCCTCTAGGCCACTTTATGTGGCCCTTGCACCTCTCCTGCAGGTAACCCCTTGTCTCCATCCCCACCTTGTCTCAGCAATCAGCAGCAGAGAGGACAATAGAACTCCTCTGCCTCCCCTGGTCTCAGCCTTCAGCAGACTCTGGTACGTGACCCCATTTATCCTCCAGATCCTGCATTTGCTTCTTTCTAGCTCTGCCCCTAAAGTGGGTGCACAGTGATTTTGTCGGGTTCTTGACATCTGATGTAATTTGGGGGGGGGGGGGGGGGGTTTGCTCTGCTCTGGATATCTATTAAAGATACACGCAGTCCCTTTGAGGACAACCATAATGTTGATATGGCCTGCAATGAAATGGAGTTTGACACCCCTAATTTAAGGGAACATTTCCTTTAGACTACAGTTTGAATATTAACAATGCTGTAATGTTAATGAACATGGTGCAATATAAATGTTTTTTTTTTTTTTTGGGGGGGGGGGGGGGGAGACGGGGAGACTTTAAATCTTGTGACACTTGCCCATTCTTAATTTAGTCTGGTCTAAATCTGCTCCCACCCCCATTCTAAGTCCTACTTTCTAGCCTGTAGAAGGGGGTCTATACTTTAAGGGTGCTCTGATCACATGATTGAGTCCCAGTGCCGGCTTCAGGGGAGAAGAGTGACAGCTGACAAGATTCCCCATAGTAAGGCTATGGGTAACATCACCACACTGGTATTACACTTTCCTGCAATCTCTCCTCTTCCTGAAGCTGGCACTGGGAGCTGATCACACAACTGAAGTGCCCATGGAATAGTTAAGTAGATCCCTGTTTCCTCAACAGTATAGTTTAGCATCTGAGAGATCTATATTTCTCTCATAATTCCAAAATGTAACCAACCGTTGTCGTCACCAGTCATCCACTTAGACATATTGCTTAGATAACCTCAATAGTCTTGCTCTTAGGTTCACAAAATACCCAAACTTGGTAATTGCTTTGAACCATTGCATATAATTAACATAAATTGTATCTCCTCCATAGCCAGAGTATAATCTGTTGCTTCCATCTCAATGTGAGATTTCTAGTAAACTTCAATTTGTTACATTTCTTCATGCAGCACAAGGTCTAAAATCTAATTACTTTTCCTAAAAGCTTTAACAGGGTTTACTGTCCTGTCTGCAATAGTAGTCGCCCAATATGGTGATCTGGACAATATTCCATTCTAGCTTCAGTTATGTCACCCCACTTGTCCACTATGCCAGGGGTTTCCAAACTTTTAATGGAAAACTTCCTGTTTCAGACTTTAGGGGGTGCTGGACTGGCTAGTGAGTAACAAACTGCCTAGTGGTAGGAGTGGACCATGACTTTGGAGTGAAAAAAATTACAGAACACCTGTCACTATAGGATTGATGCCCCATCCTTCCTATCAGTGATAGGAATGCTCTATCATTGGAATTGGTGGGGGGAGGAGGGTAGGAACTTTTTATTTATTTTTTTTTCCAGTGAGGAATTTGCACCATTGTCTGTTGGAAGGACAGAGCTTTGTCAGTGTATATATGTTGGTGGGAATACCCCAAGGCATAAGTAACCACAGGGCTACATTCAGCCTATGGGCTCCAGTTTGGAGACCATGTTTTTACCCAATGATGCATGGAGCTGCATTTTACAATTATCTGGAAGATCAGCTACCACAGGATGAATGTATTGCATGCACCAAAGTCTCTTCTGTTCTGCTTTGATCAAAAACCTGTATTAAAGGGCTAATGAGCTCTTATCTTGTTCTCACTTGGTTGTTCTGACTTGGAGTCCCTAAGGCTGCATTCACACTTAAGTGATGTGTAGCTTGAAGCTCAAAGCTCCAGAAACGCTCAAACTTAAAAGTGCCTGTTCATGCAAACTGGCACCATAGAGAACTGTCTGGGTTTTTTTTTTTTTTTTTTTTTTTTTTTTTTTTGAGCGTTAAGCTGCAAATTGCTCAAGTGTGAATGCAGCCTCAGACAAGGACTGTGAAAATAAAGATCTGACTTCAGTATGTTAATGGGGTGACATTGCTTGATTTAACTGCTTACCTCTGTCAACTGGCATCCCTCCCTGTCCAAGGAAGGCCCAAAAGCCTGTCTGAGTATGATGGCAGTTGGTGGGACTATAACCATTAGGCCAGGAAAGCATGTGCAGCTTAAAATGGACTTATAAAGGCAAGTAATATGAGTGAGCACACAACAGCTGCTACCATGGGATAAACTCCTTAATCCTCAAACAAATCACAGAAAAATATATGCAGTGCTAGAAATAAAGTGACTATGTGCAAATATTGAATTATGCAAAATTGGTGAACTCCAAAATTGTCAACAGTGACTAGTGTGAAGGTATGAACAAAACTTCAATAGACAAATTGACCATGAATAACTAACCATATGACATATAAGGTGCTTCAAATAAAGTCCAGTGAACTTGTGAATGGATGAGAAGTATGGATCAATATGGAATTCCAGCACTTTTAGTGACATCAAGATTCGGTGCAGGTGACTTCTCTTGGTAAAGGGGATGAAGTGTGCTTGCACTTACCAGAAGTGCAAATTAAATGCACATATCATAAATAACATATCCAGAAAGGGACCCTGGTGGTCGTCATAGATCTGGGGGAAGGGGGCTCCAATGGCGCGCACACCAGACAGCACTCCAGATCTTGCAGCAAACCAATCCAGCACACCGGGATAACTTCTCTAGCAAATCCAGCCACTTTGTATCAAAGGTACTACTCCACCTTAAATGCTTCAAAATTAAGCCACCAAACAGGTATTCTGATAGTGTAGTATGTTTATTGGCACATTTAAAAGTCAGATGGTAAATCCAGCTTATAGTTCAATGTGTATCAAGATGCCCACCAGACCCACATGCAGCATGGCAAGGCTCCTCCCTGATGTGTTTCGTGTGAAGATACATTATCAAAGGGAACCCTTTGAAATCCTTTTAATGTGTCTTCACATGAAATGCGTCAGAGGAGCCTTGCCTTGCTGCATGTGGGACAAAATTACAAACTGAACTTAAAGCAAATTTTAATGGACATCTTTTACAACTTACAAGACTAGAGGTTCCAAAGTGAATGTCATGTCTACCAATGTGTGCTGAACCCTGCAGCAATCCTACACTTAATTGGGTGTCTACCTGTGGAAGACCTCAGTTTTCGGGTCTGCTTAGAGGCTTTGGTCAGTGTTCAGCTTTTCCAAAGCCTGTGTAGACTGTCTTTAAAATTGTGGGGGGTTGTTTGGCAAAGGCACCTGCACTTAATATTTTGTTATGGTGGATGTGCTGGGCTCAGTCAACTGAACCAGGACCCAGATGCATGCACGGCTAGATCAGTGTAAGCATGGGGGATGTCATGGATATGCTGGTTGTGTATGACCAGCATGTGCTGGCATATTAACTGCAATCCAGCCTTGGTGTTAATCTGCACCCCAACTCATAATGTATTCTAAGTAAAATGTGAGTGTACACTAATGGAACATCTCTTCTCCTAGTTGCTGACCTTTCAGTTTGAGAATGCGTCGTAGCACTTCAAGTATCCAAGTTGTGGCGAATGCTGGCTTGGGAAGTTGTGATGGATATCAAAACATTGCCCAGCAGAGAGTTTCAACCAATATTATGCAATCAAGACAGACCCATAGAACTGTACTTGGGGTGCTCAGTGAAAATGAACAGCGGTACAGGACCCTTAATGTGGTAAGGTTTTTTTACTGCAAGTCTTATTTGAAATGCATTTTTAACTTTCAGTGTATGTTGCTCTTTAGTGCAGTAATGCTGCAAATCTCCTGTAGGTGGTTGCCATGTGACAAAGCCCTGTTGACTTGACAGGATGAGCATGACATCCACAAGCTTAAAGTAACTTTAATTTAAGCTTGCTCAGCAAAATTAATAAATTTTAATGCTGTTTGTGGATACCCCAAAACAATCACTATGGAGTCTTGGGGGTGCCCTGTCATCTTGAACACAACATTGTTACATGGGCACTTTACTTGGATAGTTCAATAGAGGCTCAAAGAATTTTACAGTGCAAAATTGGGGAATTGGAATTTTAGAACTTGGGGGGGTTTTTTTTGTATGCACTTTGTCCTAGCTGGAGGAGTATAATCCATGTTTTTTAACCTGTACACTTCTAATCAAAAAGTAGCCTGGCCTAGAAAAGGTTGGTCGCATGCCAAAAAGGCTTTGCTCACTTAGTTGGAGATGGTGCCACCATAACTCTTGGTGGATTAAATTTTTGCACATCATACCTTAATGTACAAAACTTTTTACTTGAATCATGAGTCTGTGGTGCCTTTGTCCTGATGCAAAAATTTTGTTCACCCTGCAACTATATGGTGGCACCATCCACCCAACCAAGTGGGCAAAGCCTTTTGGCATGCCATTTGACACCTGTGTGGTATTTACAAAAGGGTATTGGTGAGAGTAATGGTAGCAGAGTTGCTTTTGGCTAGTGTGCTGAACAGCTGTTCTACTTCATGATGTGACAGACAGGTACATTGTGTCATGGAGGTTGTAATGGAATATAAACATTGAGCTTTATTTGTAAGCACAAGGCTCTGTTGGATATTGTAGACCTGATTTAAATATTTGCTATCTCACACCTAATGGTGGTGGTGTGCCTTTTTTATTACAGGGTGCTTCTACAAAGATTGTTCCTGGGATTGAGAATGCATTTCCTTTCCCTGGGAAGATGGTCCCCACAAATGCTGCTGCAGTGCCCCCCAAGACATGCTTCACCATCTATGTTGATGAGCCTGAGCTGGTTCATGAAACTTATCAGTTGGAAGTGGAACTTCCAAGTCTGGAGGAGTTGGATGCAAATGTCATCAAAGAGAAGTTTGCCTTGCTGCCTGATGTCAGTGCAGGTGTGTAACACTGTCTGCACTACAGTGACTATAGAAACTAGTTATATTCTGAAATGCCATCTGTTTATCCCAAATACAGCCTCTCCAATGATGGTGGACTCTTCTCTTCCTCTTCAACCTGAGGATACTGCTGGAACGGATCCTGATGCCATTGCAGTTTCAGAGTACATTGAAGAGATTCATCATTACCTACGTGAGGCTGAAGTAAGAAATTGGCTACACTTATTTGTTTTAATGGTAGCCCAGCCTGGCTCTAACTCCTTGTTGCTGCATATATGTACTGATTTACATGTTTCATTAGCTCAGGTATTTAACTCGCCAAGCAAACCAGCTTCTTCAGACTATGCTATGGCATGGCTCTCGTGCATGTTTTCCTACATAACTTGAACTACTTATTTTATTGGAAGGATGAGTTCTGTGATCATGTATGCTGGGCCAGGATTTAAAAGATGGGTTATAAAGATGTGTGGGCTGTTCTAACCTAGAGCATGTCCATCACATAGTAGCACTAGTAATGGAGTCGGTAATGTGCATTCAATGAAGTCCACTCCATGCAGAAAGCCCTTGCTTGTGCTTTCCATATAAAGACTGTATGAACGAAAATGCCATGCTCGAATGATCTAGTGTCGCATGGGCACATAGTTGGGTTGTCATGCTTTTCTCATAGCCAGTCACATGGTGGTTGGGTGTGCATAGAGATGATTGTGACTGTCTTCAGGAGGCTTCAACAGGTATGTGCAGTACCTCCTAGCTGCCTGCACACATACCTGTAAAACTTTGACCATCCCTAACTAATCTGGGTGCAGCAAACCTCTTCAGTCTAGGCCAGCAATGGGCAAACTGCGGGCCGTATACGGCCCGGCAAACCTTTTAATCCGGCCCGCAGAGTTGGGCTCCTCTCACAGTCCGCCCTGAAGACCGGTGTAGCATGAAAATCTGTCTCCTATGGGGATCTGTCCCCCTCGACGTATCTGCGCATGTGCCGGAGATCGCCGATCGGCTGCTAATGCCTGAAACTGGCACATGCGCTGATACGTCGAGGGGGACAGATCCTCATAGGAGACAGATTTTCATGCTACACCAGAACGGCGCGGGAACACGGCGAGAGGAACGCGTGGAGCAAAGGTAAGTGAATTGACACAGGGGGACTTAATATGGGGGATGAATTGCTATAGGGGGGATGAATTACTATGCTTACTATGGGGGAATATTACTATGCTTACTATGGATGACACATACACATCATTAATCTACTCTTGGTCCTGCCCCCGGGTCCAATATATGAACCCATTGCGGCCCTCAAGTCAAAGTTTGCCCACCCCTGGTCTAGGCTCACACCTAAGCAGGTTGCATTTGTTTTTTTTCTTTGTTTTTTTCCAGATTTAAAACTCATTACTGTACACTTTCTGCAGTCTATAGAAACAAATGCAACTTATTGCATTCAAAGTCCCTGACCCATTCCAAAAACATACTGGGTGAAAATGCAGAGATACTTCCACAGGAAAGTGTGTTAAATGGACTGTACTGCATTTCTGCAGAAAATACTTAGGTGTAAACCTAGAGTTAAATTGAAAGCCTGTCCAACTTATTAATGCTGTATTTGGAGGGTGTTGCCAGATATAGGATACGTCGCAGGAAAAACTGACCAGCCTTGGCCATGCTGGTGATTTTCAACCATGGATCTCTAGTTTTAGTTTAAGTAATTGTTTCTGATCTTGTTATGTTAGACTGTTGCCATTCCTGCTTGTTAAGGGGAAAAACGTTTGCCAGGTTAGTATATAAATTTGAATTGGTGAAACCTGTTTCCCTGCTGTGGTTTAGTCTTGTATTGATCACTTTAGAATTGTTTGTATGCACAAAGTCAGTAACTTTAGCCCAACTTACTGTTGGGCTACATTGTTAAAAGCTGCAGTTGTGGTTGGTTCAAAGTTTGTATATAGCCAATATTAAATGAGGCACAGGCAAGGTTGCTCTGACATTTAAAACTTGTTCATACAGATTGTGTTGATACAGCCAGCAGAGCCTTCATTCTGCATCTGAAATTGTAGGATCGTGCCTCCCTGGCACACCCATGAATTGCCACCTGAGCCATGTTCTAACCTAACGGCATCAGATCTGTACTAAAGGCTTGCCCAAAAAGATGGTCCTAACTTCTCCTTTTTTTTAGGTTAAATATAGACCTAAAGCTTACTACATGAGGAAGCAACCAGACATTACATCAGTCATGCGGACCATTTTGGTGGACTGGCTTGTGGAAGTCAGAGAAGAGTACAAGCTTCGAAATGAGACTCTGTATCTTGCTGTAAATTACCTGGACCGATTCTTGTCAAGTATGTCAGTACTAAGGGGAAAGTTGCAACTTGTAGGAACTGCAGCTATTCTTCTGGCTGCGTAAGTATAATCTTACAATTTTGCTAACTGCTAGTAGATTGACTTTACAGCTTGAGTAATGGGTATCTTGGGTGCCAACACAAAGGTGATACAGCAGTTGCTGGAGGCAGTTGACTGCAACAATCCTAAGAGCTCAGCCAGTGTTATGTTGAAGGAACCAGGTACTTAAAGCAGTGCACTGACTGGTATAAGCTATGCTAGAAGCAGTGCATTGGTAAATGTTATCCTATTTGGGGAAGCATTCTTTCTAAAAGCTGGGGGGAGGTTGTGTCAAAATGATTACCCACATTTGTACTACTGGGTAATGGGTGCACATGTTCACGTTGAATAGTAGTGGTAAATTTTGTAGCATGGATGTGAACTGCAAATCAACCAGCAAGAATTTCATTAATTAATGGATTCCTATATTCCCTTACAGCAAATATGAAGAGATCTATCCTCCAGATGTGGATGAATTTGTGTACATAACTGATGATACCTACACAAAGAAACAACTGCTGCGCATGGAACACCTGCTACTTAAAGTCCTGGCCTTTGACCTGACCATCCCAACAATTAACCAGTTCCTGCTACAGTACCTGCACAAGCAAACTCTCAGCACAAAGGCTGAACATCTTGCAATGGTAAAAGTGGCTTCCTAACCCAAGTTTCCAGCATAGTTTTGTGTAACTGAATTTCATGTAAGGTGAACTTCATTGGATTAGTGAAGTCTAGCAGAACTGGGTGTAGATTAAAACTTAAAGGGTGGGGGGTTCCAGCCTGGAAAGAAAATGGAGCACTTGCATCTTTGTAAATTGATTCCTTGTCCCAGCTCTTTAAAAGAAACCCTGCCCCCAACCAGTAAGGGGGAGTTGGGTACGAATCCCAGCACAATAAAAATTTGGACTTTTACTTGCTAGATTTAGTAATAGGCTTAACTGATACGGCTAAGAACCTAAATCTTGCTTGAAGCAAATGTGGTTGGACTTGTATTTTTATTTTTTTCTCCTAGTACATGGCAGAGCTGACCTTGCTTGAGGTGGACCCATTCTTGAAGTATGTTCCCTCACTGACTGCTGCAGCAGCTTATTGTCTGGCCAACTATACAATTAACAGAATTTTCTGGGTGAGTAGGCAACAGATGTAAAGTGCTTTAGTTTCCAAACTAAACTGTTAAAACCCAAAACAAAAGTAATATTTCAACTTTACAGCAAACGGTTGTCTGATCACTGTTGGAACCCCTGCTAGTGTGAGGGTTTATTCAGTAATTGATGCCTTCTGCTGGAGTGCTATTTCTTGAAGAGCAATTACTGACCAGATAAATGGCCTACAAATGCAGCAATCACATCTAAAATGGTAAGGCGCACAATAGACTTTGGGTTTAATACCACCCTGCAGCAGTATAAAAGCAACCCTATATTGCAGCTCTTGTCTGTGGGGGTTCCCCTCCCATACCACTGACAGTGCTCATTCTTCCAGTGGTCTCACAATTGGGAGTTACTGGCCAGATCGCCAGGTGAAGGGGCCAGTGGGAGCCCAATATGCTGCAATAGAATCAATCTTTGTGTTTAATAGAACTTTAAATGGTCTAAAATTCTGACTTCTACATAACAGTTGTGCTTTGAGTTTTAATGTGCATGTCATAACTCAGCATTCAACCATTCTCTGCCACCCCCCCCTTCCTTTGCTAAATTGCTAAGCCCTGTGACTTGTCTTGCCTAGGTCAAACCTAGACCTGTACTGTGGATTACTAGATCAGACTAGAAGTATCATCCACTGCAAAGTTTCACTAGAGTAGCTGATCTATCTGCAAATTTTTAATCTTGAATGGTATAGTGGTAACATGAGCAAATGTGTAGTGGGTGATCTAGGATCCTCTTTATCTACTTGCCACAAGCAGACGGGTCAAATATGCAAGTGTTCAGAGTTGGCTGAGAATAACTTGCTGGCAAGTAATCTTGAGGAGTGTGTGCTGGCTACATAATCAGTGAGAACAAGCTGACCACTTGTCCCATGACTGGCCATTAAATGGTCAGACAGTCTTTATAGTAATTGAGACCTAGCAAATTTTATGTTTAACCCACTGAGTTTGCCATTGACTAGATCTGCTACAATGGTCTGTTTCCTCCAGGGCTTGAACTTGGTATCAAAGGCTGCCTAAAGACCTGTTCCTACAAAGTGTATATTGCAGCTAAGATGTATCCAAGATGGAAGTGCTTCATTTTTGGAATGTTTAATAACTTTGAGGTATTAAAGTTAACTGCAACTTTTTTTTTTTTTTTTTTTTTTTTTTTTTCCCCCCTTTAGCCTGATGCCCTTCAATCATTCACTGGTTACACCTTGAGTGATATTGCATCTTGTCTGATGGATCTGCACAGAGCCTGCCTTAATGCACCTCACCAGCTGCAACAAGCCATTCGGGAGAAGTACAAGGCTCCAAAGCAAGTGATTGTAAATGTACACAAATTGTCTACTCATATGTGAATATATGTGCTAATTTTGGCTTTTTTTTTTTTTTTTGTAGGTACATGCAAGTGTCCCTTCTGGCAATCCCTACAACGCTTCCTCTGTGACAATAGAGCATTCTAATAGTTTGCACAGCACTTACCTCGAGGCCAACAGCGTTGGTCTACTTTTAAGACACTGCTGGCCATGTCAGTCTTTATTTTTAAACAAACTTTTAAACTTGTGAACTTTTTTTTTTAGGACTAGATTTAGGTTTATTTATTAGCAGTAACCATATACTATAGATGTGGCCAATATTCTGCTGCCTGCCACCCAACAGAGGGATTTAATTGGCATAGAGACCTGTTCTTGGAGGTGCTGGCTTCAAGGCTGTCATTTCTCAATGAGACACATGTGCTTATTGCATGTTGGCCACCTGATAAGACATGCTTGTTCTGCATGTCCATCCCAGTAACTGATCAAAGATTTTATTGCTTGCCTCATTAAGTCCATTCCAGCTTCTTTGGCACTTATCTGAACAAGAGCAGGAATTAGGATTAACTAGATACAGAAGGGTAGTAGCTACAGGTCATATCAAAGTAGACACTTGAAATGACAGACAAATGCAAAGTATTCTTGTAGAATGTGTCATCTGTTCTGATGTAAACTGATTTTAATAAAATCTAGAAGATGCTATGAATGTCTGTCTGATTCCACTACATACATGAAAATCTTGCAGTGCTGTTGGGGTACTTAAACTGGATCTCTGGCTATTCAGCATACTTAACAGAATGGACCATGAGCTGAATTGTGTATTTGCAGACCTGTCATGGGACTATGATAGGGATGCTAAATGCACTTGCATGAGAAATCAGGGCCTCATGTGTTTGGTTCTAATGAATAGAACATTGAATTGCATGGTTTTTTGAGCTGCACCAATAACTTTGCATGTGCTGCATTTTGTGCCAAAGAAGCTTGTGTAACAACAAATTTTGATGTTGCATGTTTGAATACAATTTTTTTTTTTTTTTTTTTTTTTTTTTTTTTTTTTATTGTGCCAAAATTGCATGGATTTGGGGGTGGCATTAAGAAAATGACACATCAAAGGTCATGTGATCATGAAATCTGCCCATCATTCCAGTATGCTAACAAATCCTAAAGGATACTGATCTAGATTCAGTACAAAGTAGCAACAAACTGACACATTCAGGTTTTTGGGCAAAAAAAGTTGTTGGTCACATAAGATCATTAACTCAAATCTTTTTGCTGCCTATGGCAAGGGGTACAATTTTTAAATTTGAGCTGACAGCAGGCAAAGCTGAAGGCTCATTGGCTATGATGGGTAGGAGTAGTTGAATTGGCCTTAATTTAGGATTAACTCCAATGTGAATGTCAACCTGGAATATAAAAATTATAGGAAACGGTTTAAACTCGGCACTTGCAGTTTACAACATTCAGTGCTGCCATACTCCCTGGAATGGAGTCTCAAGCCAGTATGGGGGCTAGGAGTGCTTTGCCATCCTAGGTTTTTGGGGCGGTTATTGATTTGCACAATGATGGGAGAGGGCTCTAGTCCTTGCAGGAAAGGGTAGCTGCATGGGATGCTGCAATAGAAGCCACCTTGAAATGGAGAAACCCAGTGTAGCAGATGGGGGTGTAACAGGAACATGGGCTAGGCTTAAAAGGGAAAGCTACATACTTGGAAGTGACCATTTGATCATGTGCTTAAAGTGGTATTGAACCCAAAAGCAAACTCTTTTATACTGCAGCTTGCCACTTTTCCTTTTCTAGAAGTGGATTCCTTAGTCTCTAGTCGCATTTTATTACAGGTACTTGTGTAGTGCTGTCTATTTACAGAGGTATAGGTCAGAATGGCAAACAAAATTAAAAAAAGCCTGTTTAACATTGTGCACTGATTTGCATGTTCATGAGGGAAATAAGTATTTGATCCCTTTCACAAAACATGACTTTGTACTTGGTGCCAAATCCCTTGTTGGCAATCGGAGGTCAGACGTTTCCTGTAGGTGGCCCCCAGGTTTGCACACATCTCAGGAGGGCTTTTGGCTCACTGCTCCTTGGCAGATCCTTTCCAAATCATTTACGTTTGGTGGCTGACATTTGACAACTCTCTCCAGCTCCATCCACAGATTTTCAATTGAATTAAGGTCTGGAGACTGGCTAGGCCACTCCAGGACCTTGATTTGCTTCTTGAGGCACTCCTTTGTTGCCTTGGTCATGTGTTTTGGGGCATTGTCATGCTGAAACACCCATCCACGACCCATTTTCAATGCCCTGGCTGAAGAAGAAGGTTCTTGCCCAAGATTAGATGGTACCTTGTCTCATTTTTATATATATATATATATATATATATATATATAATTTTTTTTTTTTTTTGTGCAGTTGTCCTGTCCCCAAAGCAGAATGTGTCCACCACCATGTTTGACAGTTGGGATGATGTTCTTGGGGTCAGGCAGCATTCCTCCTTCCAAACATTGAGTTGTTTATGCCAAAGAGCTTGATTTTGGTTTCTGCTGACCACAACACTTTCAACCAGTCATCATTCAGATGTTCGTTGCCAAACTTCAGACAGGCCTGGACATGTGACTTCTTGAGCAGGGGTACCTTGCAGGCACTGCAGGATTTTAATCCCTGCTAGTGTAATGTTACCAATTGGTTTCTTGGTGACTGATCCCAGCTGCCTGGAGATAATTGACAAGATCCTCATGTGTAGTTCTGGGATGATTCCTCACTGTTCTCATGATCATTTGCACTCCACGAGGTGAGATTTTGCATGGTGCACCAGACCTAGGGAGACTGCCAGTATTTTGTATTTCTTCCACTTGCAAACTATTGCACCAACTGTCACCTTCTCACCAAGCTGCTTGGCAATAATTTGGTAGCCCTGTCCAGCCTTGTGTAGGTCTACAATCTTATCCCTGACATCCTTGGACAGCTCTTTGTTCTTTGCCATGGTGGAGAGTTTGGAATCTGATTGCTCCTGTGGACAGGTTTTATATAGGTAACAAAATGAGATGAGCAGCACTCCCTTGAGTGCTGCTCATCTTGTTACCTGTTTGAGACACCTGGTAGCCAGAAATCCTGCTGAATGATTAGGGATCAAATACTTAGTTCCCTCATGAAGATGCAGATCAGAACATAATTTGTTAGACATTTCTTTTGGATTTTTTTTTTTTTTTTTTTGCGCTATACTGTTACAATACACTTGCTATACAATTTTTAGACTGATCATTTCTTTGTGTGGGCAAACATTCAAAATCAGCAGGGGGGATCAAATACTTATTTCCTTCACTGTGTACATGATTCCCCCCCCCCCCCCTGCTGATTTTGAGTGTTTGCCCACACAAATGATCAGTCTAAAAAAAAAACCAATGGTAGGTGTATTGTAACAGACAGAATAGCAACAAAATTCAAAAGATGCATGTCAAATTATGCACAGATTTGCGTGTTCGTGAGGGAAATAAGTATTTGATCCTCCTATAACTCAAAAGAATTTTTGGTTACCAGGGTGTCTTTCATACAGGTAACAAGCTGAGATTAGAAGCAGTCTCTTAAAGGGAGTGCTGCAAATCTGATTTCTTTACCTGTATAAAAGACACCTATCCACAGGAGCAAACAGCTGTCTAAGGATGTCAGGGACAAGATTGTAGACCTACACATGGCTGGGCTACCAAATATCACCAAGCAGCTTGGTGAGAAGGTGACAACAGTTGGTGCAATTCTTCACAAATGGAAGAAACACAACAACGGTCAGTCTCCCTAAGCCTGGTGTATCATGCAGGCGCTTATGTCGGAGTGTCAATGATCATAACAGTGAGGAATCATCCTAGAACTAGATGTGAGGATTTTCTCTATCACCAGCTGGGACCAGCATCAACAAGCAAACTATTGGTAAAATACTATGCCAACAAGGATTTAAATCCCGCAGTGCCCGCAAGGTCACTCTGCTTAAGAAAGCACATGTCCAGGCCCATCTGTAGTTTGCCGCTGAACATCTGAATGATGCAGAGGAAGACTGGTTGAAAGTGTTGTGGTCAGATGAGACCAAAATTGAACTGTTTGGCCTCAACTCACTGTATTTGGAGGAGGAATGCTGCCTATAACCCCCAAGAACACCATCCCAACTCAAACATGGTGGTGGAAACATTATGCTTTGGGGGTGTTTTTCTGTTAAAGGGACAGGACAACTCTACCACATCAAAGGGACGCTGCATGGGCTAATGTACTGTCAAACCTTGGGTGAGAACATCCTTCCCTCTGCTAGGGCATTGAAAATGGGTCATGGATGGGTGTTTCAGCATGACAATGACCCAAAACACTACAAAGGAGGGGCTCATGAAGCACATTAAGGTCCTGGAGTGGCCTAGCCAGTGTGCACCCCTTAAGCTGATTGAAAATCTGTGGTGGGAGCTGAAACCAAACCTTAATGGCTTCGAAAGGATCTGCCAAGGGAAATGGGCCAAAATTCCTCATGAGATGTGTGCAATCCTGGAGGCCAACAAGGGGAAACTGACCTCTTTGATTGCTACCAAGTCCATGTTTTGTGAGGGGATCAAATACTTATTTCCCCCATGAGTATGCAAATCGGTGCATAATTTGTTAGACCTGCATTTCTTTAGAAATTTTTTTTTTTGTTCTGTCTGTTTTTTTTTTTTTTTGACTGATCATTTTCTTTGTGTGTGGGTAAACATTCAAAATCAACAGGGGATCAAATACTTATTTGCTTCACTGTATATGGTTCTTCCTTCCCCATTGTCTCACTCTGCAGTAGTTGCACCTGCTGGGCTTTTTTTTCTTCATGTTTGCAAGGTGGCATGTCTGGGTGGCAAATGCAAGCGTACCTCAATCTACTAGGGCAGTGGTGGGCAACCTTTTTTTTTTTTTTTTTCCAACTGAGCCAAATCTCGCCAAAACCACGATTGAAATTTATTTTGAGAGCCACATTTTTAAAACTGAAAATACATAGGATGGTACACTGTTTTTAGTTTCAATACGTTTTTATAGTAATTCCTCCCCCATAGTAATTCATCCCTCATATAGTAGTAAGTAGCAAGTAGTAAGCAAGTCCCCCCCCCTGTGTCAATTCACTTACCTTTGCTCTGCGCGTTCC